ATTTGCTGATCTCTCTTCTGCCTTCTTCCTCCCCCCCGGCTTTTCTAACATCTTTTTGGTGCCAGAAGAAAATATACATTCACTCCTGAAGCTTGTTTTTTCAATGCACTCTTCACCTGTGCAGAACCTGGGATCAGAGCCTTGCTACAGTTTGTCCTACCCTTGTCATTACCTCTGTCCCCTTAAAAGAGGGAGGCAGGTGAGCAAATAATGTGCCATTTCGGGACCGTGCCCCTTCTAGCTGTTATAGCTCTCACAGGCTGTAAGGTGCTGTGTGGAGTCTGACATGCACTAGTCACTCAGCTTAGGGTTAATGATGCTCTGAAAAGCTCAAGCATTTTTTTTTTTAATTATACTTTAGCCACAGCCTGGCCTCATTCAGTTCAGAATGTGAATAGGTTTGAATATGTTTTTTTTTTTCTTTGGGTATAAGAATACAGACATTATTGTATCTGGACACATTAATGACATTCAGTTGCTTCCTGATCACTGCTCCATTAATGTCTGTCATCATGGCACCTTCTCTGCCCATAACCTCCTCACAGACAAGACAGCTTTCCTAGCAGAATAGAGATACTTTAAAAAAAAAACGCTTGCACAAAAAAACCCCAAATAAAAACAAAAAACCAAAATGTCAAGATGTTCCCAGATGAGATGCCCTGAGAGATTCATGACTCGGTAGTAGCGTGAAGAAATGCAGATGTGACAGGTGGGTGACAGTTAGGTACTTTGTCTATAATCCCTCTGAACTAGTGGCAGACACATTCTTAAAGACAGTGATTACCATGAGAAGCCTCTCCCAAAAAGCGGTACTTGCAGTAACTACCATAAGATGATATATGGGATGCCTGGATCCTTTTTATCAGTTTCAGAGGACAAAGACCATAGGTCATGACTTGTGGAATAATAATAATGGATTAATATAATAATAAAACAGACAAGAAAGTCTGAATAAAATAGAGTCCAGAGCCTGGAGCTGGTTTGCTGCATTAAATAAGCAAACTGCATTTGCTGAACCATTCGGTAAAATGGGCTGAGGCAGCTGTTTGAGCTCAAGTAAATCAGGGAGAAGTTGCCTTTGGGTGACTGAAGGGCTGGCTCAAAAGCAGCCATTTGGACTGGTTTTCTCTGCCTAGAAAACAGACATATTGCTCCCTGGGCATCCTTCTGCAGAGATACCACTGTGACTCTGTGCCTCCTCTCCAGAAATAAACAGCACATTACTGGTATCAAGATGGTAGCCACCTTCTAGACATGCAGCCATTATTTTTCTTGGACCACAGAAATGATATATCCAAGGTAAAATAAATATATAAATAAATAAAGTTGCTCACAAAAATGTTTTTGCCTGAATAATTAATTCCTCAGCAAATTTTCCCATAATAAAACATGTCCTAATGAGCTATCAGGAGGAGAGGAAATTCATCACTTACCTCACAAATATCAACTTGAGAGCACTGCTCATGTCAGAGAGCATAATTAATGACTTGAGAGGGAGTGTGGAGCAGCACAGCCAAAACCACAGTCCCCATCAGTCATTCCACATCAGTCCAACTTGTACAGTGTTACTTGATCTACAGAGGATTAGCCAGGCAACTAGAAGGAGATATGGGGCTGAAGGGAATACAGGCAAATACGGTACATCTGATCTTGATTTATCCAGGTTGGTTTTCTGCTTACCACTGAGGTGGCAATGGCAGTTGATCCTGCAGCTTGTTTTCATTTTTTGTGACTTTTTTTCAGACAAATAGAATTTGCAAACTCTGGACTTCACCCTTGCTGATGCCGAGCAAGTCATCTTCAATCCCATGTCAGCACATGGTTCCCTTGAGGTTTCTTTCCTACAGGAGATGGGAGTTCAATTCCTGTGCAGAAAGCCCAGGTGGGTGCCCTGGAGTGGGCAAGCCCCTTCTGAGCTGTGGGCAGGAGGTCTGGGATGTTGTGTTAAAAGTGCCGTTGGTCATGGTGGGGCCATGTCCATCTCTTCTCTCTGTCCTTGGCAATTGTAAGCACTACCCCACTGGCTTCCTTCACAGTGCAAAAGGGACCAAACACTGACGACACATCTGCTCAAGTGGTAACCCCCTCCTAAAGATGTTTACAGAAGCCAGGCTATGGGGGGATGCTTTGGAGGAACAGCTCTCCCTACTTGGATGGCAAAGCTGATACAGCAGGCTAGTTGTCAGCTGTTGTAACGAGAACCTGAAATTGCCATAGTGAGTCAGACCAAAGGACCATCTCGCCTGGGATCCCATCTCCAAGGACACTGGCACCACCACATAGAAGATACTTGGTTTAGGGAAGAATGGAGGATTTGGGCAAATGCAGAGTGATCATTTTGCGGCTCTACTTTCTCAGCAATCTGCTGCCCAGGGACTTGCTGAGCTGAAGGCTACTTCCCCAGCTCTGTGTTTAGCAGCCCTTGATCGTCTTTATCCATTAGTTTCTCTAATCTCTTTTTGAACTGATATTTATTTTTGGTCTCGGCAGTGTTCTGTGATGAGTGCCACAGAATAATTGTGTGCTGTGTGAAATATGTACATCTTTTCCTCTGTTTTAAAATTTCTGCCTGACCTGTATATTTGATGTTCTCTCTTCCCTGTGATATGAGAAAGAATGAATAATCATTCACTTTGCCTTGTGCCTTTCTCCCCCAGTTTCAACATTTTAAGGAAACTAAGGCTATTTAAGTCTTCTTTGTAAAACACCATCAAATTTACTCCACTAAAACAGCTGCATATTTCAAAGACCAAGTTCCAGCCTAGTATAATTTTTTTTTTTAGGATTTACATGAGAGAAGACTATGAGAAATCCAGGCAGCTGCCAAACGAGTGACATCTGACAGGTTTGATTTCTACCTCTTTGCTCACTCCAGTGTGTGGTCGCTCCATCCAACCAAGTACTGCTCCTCAGTAGCTGTCAGCCTCCTAAGTGCAGCTGTTTTACATGTCTCTTAACATTTGCAAATGCCTAACTGTATTTTCTGAAACTCTCCGATAAATGCTCGCTTGAGTTTGTTCATCAGCAAAGACAACTTTATATGTTCTACAAGTGACCCTCACGTTTCACCTCTGCAATAACCCTCCTGCAACAGAGCCTTGGGGTTGCTGGTGGTAAGATCTGAGCATTGGGGTTTCTGGTGGTAAGATCTGAGCATTGGGCTTGCCCGAGGCAAAGCGCCCTTGGCATTTGCTGGCCCCTTCTGTGGGCTCCAGTGTAAGCAATAACAGCTATTATGTTGATGTTGACCTCCCAAGTTAACTTCAGAAAACATTATCTGGAAAATCTGATGTGTCAGGTTTCAAAGAAAAGAGTTTTCCAGCTCAATCCAGGTTTGATTTCCTTCCAGAAAAAGGACAAAACCCTTTGGGAACCCAGCACTTCTTGGAACCAAGGTTAAGAGCAATAAACTTTCCTCCTTACTACCAGACTGAAATATCAGCGAAATCTTTTCTGTTAGGAGTGCACCTCTGTCCCCACAGGGTCACGTCAATGCTCTATAACTCATCTTGCAAAATTAAAATACAATTTTTGATGATCAGAGTTGGATAAGGATCAGAAAAATGGCCTGACACATTTCATACATACTGACAAAAGTTTTTATTCAAGAAGCAGGATCTGCACAAAAAATATTTTCCCTGTACGGATAGAGCAAGATTTCAAGATAAAATGTATTACAAATGATTTACAATGAAGCTGAATTAATGTCTTCTCTGAGAATCCCCCCAGTGCCCGCCTCAGGACTGTATCTGTAACCTCTTAACAACATAGAAAAATGATTGTTTTGTTGCCCAATGGAAACACTAGCCTGAAATCCCATGTGCAGTATATTCGGGGTCCCAGTGCCTCATCTGCTCCTCTAAACACTGCCCAGGAAGTGGCACAGTGCCTAAAACGAGCGGAAACAACCCTGGGATTAAGAAGTGATCTGAGAGCTGCAGTTGATCTCAGACTGGATACGGCTAGGAAATTGGATTAGGAAATGACTTTACCTGGGACTGCAGATGAATTGCGGTGTCTGGCATTGGAAAGAGGATTCATGTTTAGATGGAAAAATGAAATTGGGATTGAGGGAAAACTCTAACTTGGGGACAGTTGGGGGGCAGAACTGAGCAGAAGCTGCATTCCCTTCTGATGCCTTTTGCTTTCTTCCATCCTGGCCATGCAGTTTTGGACCCTACAGCTGAGGGGATGCTCTGATGTCTTTCCAAGAGTGGTGCAGGGCAGGGGGCTGGTCCCTGGCAGTGCCGAGCAGGGTGGATGCTCACCCCTGGGAATCGAGTGAGTAGTGACTGTTCCTGCCATGCACGTACCATTGCTGTGCTCGTCCCTTCTCAGCTTAATGTCCAGCTGGAGCTTAGGGTTATTTTCTTTCTTCCCTACTCTGCCTGCCAGCCAGGGGACAATGCAGGTGATCCCAACCCTGGGCAGCCCCTAACTGACACCAAGGCTCAACAAAAGTTCTTCCACTTCTGGTGAGCCCTTGCTGCCACTTTCAATATCTTGTTGGAGGGGTGACCAGCTGGGCTAGGAACAAAACCACTCGGTCTACAGGTCCTGGGGTGGCTGTGCACCCTGTCCCTTATGGCTGCCATCTGAGGTTGGTGGCCAGATTTTTAAAAACTGGGACCAAAACTTGCTAGGATTCAGCATCGAGGATGAAGCTGTATTTTTTTTTTTTTTTCAGTGGAGAGTGCTTGTCACGGCCACCAACACAGGTGACGTCAGTGTTCTGTGTCATTAGCAAGATACCCCACTGAGAGCCTTGTGGTACCCAGCCTTGCTGGGAAGGCACAGACTGATTTAACCCCCTGGGTGCCAGGGTGTATCAGCGGCCAGGTTTTCCCGAAGAAGAAGGATCCCCCACAGCAGCTCTTCCTCTCTGCTCCCCCCCCAGGCCCTGAAGCCATCAGTAGGAGCAGCTCGGGCGCGGGAGAGGCAGCAGCTGTGTCTGGAGGAGGCATTGCATCGCATTTCATTGCACTGCGCATCCTCCCTCCCCACCCCCTACTGCTGCAGGCTTCCTCCCTTCGTCCCTCCATCCTCCCCCCCTCCTGGCCCACATCCCTCCCTCCTGCATCCCTCCCTCCTGCATCCCTCCCTCCATCCCTCCCTCCTTCCCTCCCTCTGCCTGCGCAGAGCCACGGACATGGCGCTCAGCAATTTCCTCTTTGCTCAGTGCATCTGCTATTTCCTGGCCTTCCTCTTCAGCTTCATCGTGGTGGTGCCGCTCTCCGAAAATGGCAATGACTTCCACGGTCGGTGCCTGCTCTTCACTGAGGGCATGTGGCTTAACGCCAACCTGACGGTGGAGAGACAACGCTTCACCGTGCAGGAGTGGGGGCCCGAGGCCGCCTGCCGCTTCAGCATCTTCACCGGGCTCCTCTCCCTGCTGCTGGCCACAGTACAGGCCTGGAGGACCCTCTTCTTCCTCTGCAAAGGGCACGAGGAGTAAGTACCCCTGGGGAGGGCAGGGGGTGCCCATCCCTCCTGAAGGCTGGGGCAAGTGGGAGCAGCCTGAGGGTGAAGCATTGGGCTTTGCACCATCCAGATCACCCAGCTCCCTAAAGGGGTTTGGGGTGAGGCAGTGTATTGCCTCCATCTGTCTGCACACACACCATGTACACCCCCACCTGTGTCCAGGGCCCTCTCCGGAGGATGCTTCCCTGCAGGGGTTTGGGGTGCGGGGCCAGATTCACCGCGATGCACCCGCTACCCTTTGGCAGTCTGGGAGAAGTGTCTGGCCAGCTCAGCTGTTGTGGGCATAGAGGGTGCTGGGGGCCATGGGGCGATACTGGAGGCTGGGGCTCGCGGGTGCCTCCTGACCATCATCCCACTACATGTCCTTCCCAGGATGTACACCGGGTGCCTGAAAAACCTTGAAACAACATGGTTGCACGTGGGGGTGCAGAAGGGAACAGTTGGTGGTCCCCCTCTATTTTTATTCTGCTTTTGTGATGGACATGGCAACTATTGCAGAGAACAACTATTGCTTGGTTATGACACGAGAGCAATGCTGAGCGCTCCCTGCAGCAGCTGCAGGGCTGCACTGGCAGCTGGTTACTGTGCTCAGGCAAACCAAGGGGCATCAGACCCCAGCTGGAATAGTGAGAGGCTTGATGGTCCAGGCAGCAGCTCGGGAGAGCTGTGCTCTGTGCTCGGCTCACTGGTGGCCTGTCCTGCCACTTTGCGTAGAGTTCCTGGCACAGGTAACCCAGTCTGCGGGTGCTACGGGGCCAGGGCCCTCCAAGCATCCCGCTGCACAGAGGTGGGAAGGCAGGAGCACATACTGGTGGCTGACTAGGCTAGGAAAGCCATTTTCCCGTGGTTTAGGGACCATGCCAAGGGTAAATCACTCATGTCCAGGTATATTTGGATTGGAGGTTTCTTGGGTCAGTGGCTGTTATGCACATTTGGGCTTGTACAAAACCCTGATGTTGGTAATATTGGGGACTGGGTAGTAGTGTTGTCTCTCTGGCTCTTTCCAACCACTCTCAAGCTGCCTAATACTAAAGCATGCTATAGCAAGTAGAGATCAGAAACTTATTTCCATATTAAAACTTACCTTACAAGATCTAAATATAACCATGGACTTCTTAATACATTTAAATTAGGCTTCCTCAGGTGATCAGACACGTATAGAGCATTAGTTGAATCCAGACATTTTTCAGTTTTGCAGTTCAGAACTAGTTAATTTTTGGAAAAAACCAGCAGTAAAAATCTTGTAATAATGAAATTTGGATCAGATGTTTGGCCTGCTTCCAATTGTGGCTATTTAGTTCAAAACTGTTGGGCAGGCCTCTGAAAATTGTCCCTTTAGGATCACTGCTGCTGGGTCAGCTCTGGAGTAAGTTGGCCTGAGGAAGTCAGGGTTATGCATCCTAGCAAGGTGGCCAGTCTTCATGTGCAATGGCTTCGAATGATTGCTGTCAGATAGTTAGGCCTGCTAAAAATCCTTCTTAACAGGGTCTCAGCACCCCTTGCCTCAGGGACAGACTGAGCTTGAATTGCCTGCAGGGGTAGGAAAAGCAAGTGCTCACTGCGAGCCATGCTCTGGGTCTGGGACTGTTCAGCTCAGCTGAAAGGTAGAGGTACAACTCAGATACTTCACTACTAGGATTGCAAAGAAATGTCTGCTTTGAGTGTAAGCATTTATCATTAAAGGGCATCCACTCAATCTGGAATATGTAGCTTGAAATTCTGATCTAGGTGAGGCAGAAAGCCAAATTAGCACAGTTCTCTACCAGGATGCCCTGGCCTGAGGAACCTCCAGCACACAGTGATGGTTACTGCTTGCCTGGTGCAAATTAAGTGCAACACTCAGCTCTGCTTTGCCGGTGGGAGGTCTGATTCTGGACCTTGGCACCTCTTCTGTGCTGCAGGGTAGGAAGTAGAGGGAGGACCAGAGGTCCCAGGCTGGCGATGATCCACTGAATACCTTGGGAACTGTTCCTTTTCTAGGGCTTTTACTAATTGTCATGTCAGCTCTGTTTTTATTCAGTGGACTGCTCAAGTCTTTTCTGCCTCTCAGGCCAGCATACCACGCTAAGGTGCACACAGTGGCTATGGCTTTAGCAAGACTTGGGATGAAATCTAGGCTAGGTGTGAAATCAGGGCAAGGACAGTGAACATGCAAAATCGTGGTGTGCTTGTCCCAGCTCCCTCTGCTATATGAGTGACCCTGGCACTCTGCAGAGGTGAGCTGATCTAGTCCTCCAGGTCCTGTGAAGCCAAAGGATAAGAGTAGGATTCATCTCTATGTTCATCTAGAAATCATGTGTCCTGGCATCCAGCTCCCACTAGTTTGTAAGGGCACTTCTGGAAGGTGGTTTATTTCACTTCTTTTCTATCAGTGTTGGGATGGGATGGGACGGGATGTGACGACTGTCACTTTGGAGAGAACCTAGACAGCCCCTCTAAAGCCACATCAATCCAGAAACAAACATCCTAACCCCACTGGTAATTGTTTCCTCATTTCATTTTAAAGAAGTCCTCCTGAGGTCACATATGTCTCACCATGCATAACCTGTACAAATTAGGATTGACCCAGAACCTCCCCAGGATTCAAACACTGACTCAAAAAGCCTCTCGGCTTTTCATTTAATGAGCCACCAGGGAAGAGAAATGACTAGGTTTTTTGTTCTCTGGGGTAAGTAGACTCCGTCTATCCTCAGCATAATGAGAGCGGCACTGGTGGGAAATTCGTCGTACTCATCCTTACCACCTAACCTGAATGGGACGACCTGCCTCCTGGAGTTGCCAGTCTTTCTCTAAGCTAGAGTAGATGTCCAGTTTTTAGATAATGAGACTTTCCAAGTGCCATCTAGAGCAGTTTCAAGTGGGAAAGGACTTGGTCAGATGAATGAGAAAAGGATTAGAAAGTTTTCACTAACTAGAATTAAGGGGCAGAGTCAAGCAGCAAGATTGGAAGATGAGTAGACAATTCCTTGGCCCTATGGGACCACTGTAAGCATCCCACCCCCTACCACTCCAAACAGCATGTGCCTAGGGCTGGCCCTGGTTAGAAAAAGTTAATGGAGCTGAAGTAAATTGACATTCAGCTGACAGAAAGTACATACTGACACCAAAGCCAGAGAAGTCCCAAGAGTAGCTGGCCTGCTCTGCAAATTGCCCATAAAACTGAGACTCGTGTCCTATGATGGCAGTACCTTGTGTTACATTGCTTAAAATGATTATAGCTATCAGTACTGTGTTGTTTTATTTTTAGTTTCCCTCTCCTAGGCAATTTTTGTCCCAATTATCACTTTAGTCATGAAATAATTTTAGCTCCAGTTACTATATAATTTAAGCTAATGACATTTATTTTAACAATGGTGATTTTCATCATTACAGCTAATGAAAACCATGCTGTGTATGAACAATCGCCACTCAGCATTTATGATTTAAAGCCCCATCCTCTTGTGAAAAAAAAAATAAAAATCAAAAGCACTTACGAATGAAGATAATGTGACTCAAAATCATAATCCATAGTTCTTCAATGTATTAGGTGTTCTTAATTAAAGCAGATGTGTTTCAAATGGAAACTGATATCTTTGTGCCCAGTGTATGCTGCTTAGAGAGACTGCTGATGTTGTGTTTCAGCTGTTTATGAGTTACATTTTTCTTCCCTTTTATTGCAGCTCTTTCTTTTATGCCTTCCTGAATCTGCTGATCAGCGCCTTTGTGGTTTTTATCACATTTATTGCTAGCACTATAGTGAGTGTAGGATTTAACATGTGGTGTGATGCAATTACCGAAAAAGGAAGCATGCCAAATAGGTTAGTATCGAAGAATACATTTTCTTCCTTTTTTTTTCTGTATATGCACAAATGAACAGTGGTGTTACAAACTGTAGTTATTACATGCAAGGTGAGCAAAGGGGAGAAGGCATTTGTAATGTGGAAATTCAGATTTTTTTCATCTGGAACAAAAACAGCAAATAAAACTTTTTTTGCATTTAGTTTCTCACAAAGAAAAGTACAGTTTCCCTGGTGTTTCACGGTCTCTTTAAGAGTCAGGATCATAAGCAAAAGAAATCCATTAGTTTAAAAAGTTTTATTTCCAAAGGAGATCTGGATTTGGAAATGCTGTAAGAATGGGAGGAGTGTGGTCTTGTGAGCAGGGCAGGGGACCGGGAGTCACGGCTCCTGGCTTGCTGTCCTGGCAACCCACTGTGTGAGGGTGGGCAAGTCACTCATCCTGCCTGTGCCACAACACACCATCATCCAAAAACTGGTATAAAGATGCTGGCCTCATAGCGGTGCTGTGGATGCCCTGAGAGCCACAGAATGGAAAGTGTTTTGTAAGTGCAAAGTACAGATGGTTGGTACTTTCTTACAGTGCACAAAATGTACAGCTCCTAAAATGGTCTGCTGTATCCCACGATGCTTATGCTCCTTATAGGAAACATGATAAGTTGAGGTAGACTTTTTCCTATCAAACAAATAACAATGAAGAGAGAGGAAAAGGTGACATTTTATGTCATATGATATTGAATAGACGTACTATTTAAAGCGTACATTTATATTGCACATTGTCATATGTTGTAAAATGCCATAGTAAATGTTCTGTTTAGGGCTGCAACGATTAATCGAATTATTCGAATATTCGGTTAAAAATTCAATTACAAAAAACGTCTAATCGAATATTCGGATAAGAACCCAAGATGACCGACAGCACTGAAAAGGAGAGAGAAGAGGCTGCAGAAATCAACCGAGAGATAGAAAGACAACCTCAAAATCCTGGGATTTTTTTCACACCAGTAAAAGTCCAAGTTATTTGTAAAATCTGTAGGCAGCCTCTATCTTACCATCAGAGTATCGTCTCCTTGCTGGAGCATCTGAAACAAAAACACCCACACAATTCCTTCTTCTGAGGCTTTTCCTGATGAAGTCAAAAGGTAACGGAGGCTCATACACTTTGTTTCGTTCAGGGGTGAAGCAACCAAGCTGGGGTGATGCCAGATGTGTATATGTGGGAGGCTTGGGGGTAGGGGGAGAAGAGGGTTTTAAGTATATTGTTGTCATAATAACTATTACAGTTCCACTTACGGAAGATTGGTGTTAACACTTACATAATTATACATTTTATTTTTAAAGAAAGTAATTACATGCCTCTTTTAGCCTAGTTTTAGAGAAGATTAGCAAGCAACCTGGTTACTGCAATAACTTGAATATCTTTTGATAGAACATGCCATTGTGACTGTTTGAAATGCATGTAAGATGTTGCTTCATATTATGTTTGGTTTGCCTGTTTGGAGTCTCTGAAATAATTTTCTTTTTTCCCCTGCAAATGCCTTCCTTGGGTAGCTGTGAAGAATTACAGGATATAGATCTTGAACTGAACTTAGAAAACTCTGCTTTCTACGACCAGTTTGCTATTGCGCAGGTAGGTCAGACTAGGTCATGGTTCTATTCCAGTTCATTTGCCGCTTGCTCATTGATCTGGAATTGCTGGAGCTGAACTACTGCTCCTTTGAAACCAATGGGAGCGTTTCCACTGACTTCAGCAAGTGCTGAATCAGGATGATGGTGACGGGCACATTTGCATTTTAAATTCAAAATAGGTAGTTTTGAATGCGGACATGTCAAAACCTGACTTTGCCACTGATCATGTTACTCATGATGGAAAATTTATTGTTTCACTAAAGAATGAGCTCTGCAAAAGTTGCAACACTGGTGTCCTGGAGCTCTTCATTGTTGTTTAGAGTAATGTCTGAACTGCACCAGATCATGGGTCTATTAGCTTTGCCTTCCAGGAATTTGTCTGAGATCCCCGAGCCCATATAAATATCAGGCCACTGAAAATAATTAAAGTTTACTGTCATTTACATAGGGCTGTTTTCTGATGAATCTTTGAGAATTAGACCTCTAAGGCTGTCAGACCTTTCTATTGAATATGCTAGCTCTAAGTCAACAAAGTCAGTGAACACTGGGACTTGAGTACTTGCTCATGTAAGCACATACTAGTTCTGCAAGGAGGATAGCCCCATCCATGCAGAGCTGCACCCATAAGCATGCTTCTTATGTTGTCCCATATGGGAAGAGGCAATAGCTTGTCTGGGGCACTCCTGGAAGGTAACCGTGCCTCTTGGACACAAGATAGTTTCATGCCTTTGTTGCCAGCACTGGCATCTAGACACCCAGCTCAGACATATCTGCATGTAGGACAGAAATATGCCATTGAAAGTGACCCCTTTATATGATGTTAGCCCAAGGCCAGGCTGTATTTTGTAGCAGATTTTGCCATTAACTCCTTATCTGCCAGCCAGTGGGATGGTAGCAGAAGTAAACCTGTTATCATTCTGTAGCTTTGAGTTCATGGGAACTAAATGTCCATGTCCACCTTGTGAGTTTCCAGTTCTTTAGATATTGTCATATAAAGCCAAATTAATCTCTCTTATTTCCAAGGTTTGTAGAACAACTAAAAAATGTTCTTTACTGGTGAACTGAGATAATTTTAAGTATGGGCAGAAAGACTTAAGAGAATTTCCAAAGTGCATAATATATATAGGAACATAAAGTCCCTTTAAAAAATAGTGGCCCTTGGTTATCTAAATTGGCTATTAGACTAAACAGCTGTATTACTGTCTGGAAGTGTTTAAATTGCTGTATTTTTTTAAATTAAAAATGCAGTATGTCAAAACTGAAATACAGGGATTCAATTAATGTTTCTTTGCTAAACGCATCATAGAATTAAAATGGAATTTCTGCCAGAAAGCTTTACTGCAAATGAGCCTCCTCTGAGGCAGGGAGGCCAACATTCACGTACCTGTACCAATCACAGTGTAATTATTTCTATGAAGTTAAGCAAGAGAGACTGACAAGTTAGTGATGGAACCTATTGCAGATCTGAGGCTTTAAGCCCAGGTATCTCATGCCAGGTATAAATGAGCCACCGGGAACTTGGATGGATTGGAGTGGGTTTCCCTTGCTGTCTGAGTTCATGCTAATGTGAACCAGTTACCCCAGAGTGTAACAGTTCAATTGGTAAGATTTTCTCAACAATATTTTGAATAGAAATACCTTAAAATTTATACTTCTCCAGAGGTAGAGGGAGGCCTGAAGGACTTGGGAAGAAAATTTTGGAAAATATCTTAAAACATATTGCAGTTCTAAAGTAGCAAAAGTGAAATAATCCCAAGAATTGTCTGCTGGCCAGAATGTCAGATATGGGAAGTTCAATGGATGCGCCTGGATTATACCGATTTCTTTTTTTCATTATTGTACTTAGTGCATTTTTGCCTCAGTTTTTCTAGTACATAAGGAGTTTTTCCTTTTAAGCTAAGAATAACTTGACAGAGTTGAGGAACGGTGGGGCCAGGACCTCATTGGGTGTGACTTGGTGTGACTCCATGGGTCTTGGTCCAGCTGAGATTTTGATATTCACCTGGACAGTTGATTTTGTTTTTACAATACAGTACTGATCTCTTTATCATTTCTTTTCTTCTCTAGTTTGGTCTCTGGGCTGCCTGGCTGACTTGGCTGGGAATTACCATTCTGGCTTTCCTGAAGGTTTATCACAACTACAGACAGGAGGACCTGCTAGATAGTCTGATCCATGAGAAGGAGCTGTTGCTAGGAAGATCCTCTTCACGAACCTCTTTGCAAGATGAGAAAAGTGGCATGATCTAAAGTGTAAGCAAATTAACAGGGCAGGATCTAGATTTTATTATTCAGTAGTGCGAGCTGAAGTTGAGTCAGGGTATTGAGTGTGTGAGATATTTTCTTTCCCAAAGGAGATGTACTTGTGAATCATCCACTTCCTCCATGAGAAATTGTTGGCAGAAATACTTATATTAGGATGCAGAGAATGAATGGCCCCATGTGCCATTGGCACAGCAAACTTTCTGTCCTGTGCAGGCACAATCTAACCTGCTCTTGCTAGCAGAGCTCCTACGTGTTATCACTGGCTTTCGGGGAAGGGGTCATTTCTGAGGACTGTGCTGGCAAGATCAGGCTACAGAGTCTAGGCTGTTTCTTCAAACTATTCTGCAACAACAGTTGTAACTGGAGCTGTGTCCAGTTCCTTGTCTCTCCCTCTCCTCCCTTTTGCCAGTAAAGCTGTCCCTATTCTCACTTTATTCTGGGTAATTGCAGCTCTGGTCCCAGTACAGACTCTCACTGTCTCTGCTTTTGCTATGTATGGATGCAGTTCTGATGAACCTGTTACTCCTGCTCTGATTTTGAGTTCATTTAGAACAGAGAAACCTGTGTTCCAGACTTGATATTTAATATTGGACAGCGTTAATGAATTTCATGAAACCACTATATTATTACAGTATCTGTCAAAAACTGTGTATCATTTGGAAGGATGGTGGAGAATTTTTGTGGTTTTGTTTCTTCTTAGATTTTGGCATGACCAACATTTATTATAACTCCTGAAGTGTAGTGTAGCTAGCAATTGCTGAAGCTTGCATACTAAGAAATTAGGCTGAATAGGTAGTATTAATGCTTGTGCATTTATAAATGTAACTTGGTCCCTAACATTGTATGCTATTCAGTTTTGAGTATTAGAATTTACTTGTGATATTTGTTTCATATAGGGTATGCAAAATTACTGTAAACATTTGCATTGTAGGTATCTCTATATATCTATAAACATAGCAAGGAGCTCGAACATCTGAGTTATTTTATAGGTAGTTCAGTGTGGAATGGGTCCGTTCTCCCCACTGATGGACAGGAGTTCCAGGGCTGATGAATTTTACTGTGAAAAGGGAGAAGAACTGTTATTTTCGCAAAGCTAACAACAAATAAAGTGGATGGTTGAGATGAGAAGTAGATCTGATAATTAAGGCGAGTCACTCCGATGAGTGTGGGATTTGCATGATAGAGAAGTAAAGTTGTACTACAATTAGGCAGCTGTCGCTGGGTACACATTACACAGAAGACCCCAATTCAGCAGAAAACTTAAGCAAACAGTTCAGTTTAGGTTGAAGAAAAATTTTTGTGAGTACACAGATGCTGCCTGTGGCAGCTGTTTTTGAGTTGAGTCTCAAATTATTGCAACACAAGTGCAAACCATGCATATCTATATTGCCTGTTAAATAAGAAGGTTCGGGAGAGAAGACAGCAGGCTTCTGCCCCATCAGAGCTCAAGCCTGGGGCTAGCACAACCATATAGATTTACCGTTGTGTTCTGGGGACTGTCAGGTGCTTGAAGTTAAGTACCTACTTAAGTGTTTGGTTGAAACAGAATTTGAAGTCATAAAAAATCCCTGAATTTGTAAGCATTTAGGGCATAAAACCTAACATTACATTTAACAGCCAAATTGTTCTCATAGATTTAGGGAAAAAAACCCTCCGTGGACTGTAAGCAGTGAGCTGGTCCTGTGAACATAGCTTATAGCCCCTGTTGGCCACAGCTGTCTGTAGAGAGATCTTGTTTTTCTGCCCACAAGGGAATGCAATTCCTTGATCAAGTTAGTTAATGGCAATTTTAAATTCAGACATCAGGACTGTTGGAATGCTTTTTTTTTAACTAATTTGGTCTAATAAGAGATATGTTCTTGCAGGTACCTAAGCCCTTTGCCAGGGCATGACTTTCCCCTTCATACCCCTTCATACCCTGAAGAAGAACTTGGGTCCTAAAAGTTAGCCTGTTTGTTTCCTATGTTTCCCCAGTTGTTTCTCCAACTGTAAAAGACACTACTTCTCCTTTCAGTCTCACTGGATTCAGCAATGAGACTCTCCCTACAAATTACTTCAGTGCATGACTTACTCCTCATGTGGAACCATGCTGTTGCTGTGTGTAATATATTTTATGTATGTGCCAAATCAGGCTTAGGCTGAAGTAACGTGTGGGTTTGGACCACTGTTGCTGATCTTGCCTGGGGGTTTGAAGAACCAGGAGGTAGAAGATAGCAAGTGTCCCCTCCTCAACCCTGCTCTGAGATACCAGGGCTCAAGCCTTGTCTCTGGTTCTGAGGAGGAAGAAGGTGCTGCTCATCAGTGAGGCTGCCCAGAGCTCATGCTCAGAGAGGTCTTTTTTCCCTTGTCTTGGGGTCTTTTCCTCCTTTCCACTTCCATGAGAAGCAGCAAACACTGGTCCTGGGGTTTCTACTCTTGTTGACTTTTGTGGTTAACAATTTCAGTAGCATTTGTCACCCTGACACTGTTTCCCTGACACTATCTTCATTGTTCTGTAGCTTAGTAGACAAAAAGTGGGATCTTTGAAGCACCTGGGGCAGCCAGGATCCCACGTCGAAGTAAAAGTAAATAGGAATGAAAAACCTCACTTCAGCCTTTGGAAAGTTCAGCCCAACAGAAGTACATGTACAGACTCACCTGTTAACTTTGGCATCAAAGCTTAGCCTCTCTAATTCATTTACCTGGACGAATTCTTCTAGTCCCAGTTGCCTTTCAGTGCCTATGAAGCAAAGATCTTTGCTGTTGGAGTTGGTATGTAAACTGAAAAGAGGCTGAGGCTCTCCTTTGAGTCCCACAGGCGTCTCAGTCTCTTTTCCCCAGCTTCCCTCACTTGACCAGGTGGGGTGAGGCTGGCACGCAGCTTGCAAGCATCAGTGATGCTTAAAAGCAAAGCTAGTTTTGAAGGGAGCCCCTGGGCAGTTGAGAAGGCAAAGCATGCAGTGGGAAGCTCTCCGGCTGACTTGAGGGGAGGAAGGGTATCCTTGGGCTTTTTTGTTTTAATTTATTTTTCTGCAACCTCTTCTCCTAAAGCTTGGACACACAGGCCAACCTGGTGATGCCAAGCTGAAAATGCATTGGAATGGCAGTATTATTTGTACAAACTTACATACCTATGCTCTCCGTCACACACATCTCTGTCTTGCACATTTCTGACCTCTGCTTTTAGTCATCCATTGCCAACCAGTGCAGAGTGTGGCTGTAGTAGGAGTTTCTCTGAGTCAAATGTTGCATTTCTGTGATATTTCAATGCCTTCTTTAATTTGCCATCTCCAAAAGCAGGCCTCTGGAAACAGTCTAGCATGAGATGTATTCAAAGAACCAGAACCTTGTGTGGTATTTATACTTCTATTTATTTATTGTCACATCATGGAAGGGGTAAAAGCTTTGTGGCCTTTGCCCATGCAGCCCCTCCTGCTGCTGCCCCTCATAAAGCTGTGAACCATTCTGGTGAAGTCTGTGGGATGCAGTTGTTTAGTCACCGTGTTCCCTGTGATGCTAAAACCACAGTCAAAAGATCTCTGTTTTGGCCTGTGAAAATTGCTAGTAATGCAGGGAGAGCCTTATTTAGTCAAATGCAACTGGATTCTGCTTTCTGAGGCACCAGGGTGTTGCCACACAATTATTCTTTTAGACTGAATATATTCCCCACATCTGCGGTTAATTTCCCTGCCAATTCCCTGCCAGCAGTCCACACTAGGTTAGAAAAATCTGAGTAACAAGTGTCGTCTGAGCTTTTAGATCAATGCAGTTCATTATTATTTTTATATTGGAGAAACAATTGAAGACATTTTTTGGAACAGAATTTCCTCATGAGGGCACAAATGCTCATAACTCCTTACCCCACTAATTCATGAGGCATCTTTCAGCTGTGAACTTTCAATAAGAATCACAAAAATAAGAGCATGATGATTTACTTTAAAAATGTGTGCTATGGCAATTTTTCTATGGTCCCTTAGAGAACTGGTTGTTATAATAACCAGTGATGGACACTTGAGTACACGGACCTTGTCGTGAAAGCATTCGCTCTCAGGAGGTGGTATATGTGTGTATGTACAATGTACACAGACATATGCCAGAAAGAATTCCACTGCTCTTCTGTGATGTGGCAATAGGCCCTTCTCTTAACAGGCGGCTTAGGTCAGAGTAGTTGTTAGGTTCCCTTAACTTTCTACACTGCCTTTTTCTTACTTAGTATTAGGATCTGTGTGATGATACATAGGTTATGATACCCAGAGGTGGATGTGGATGTGATGTGAGCAGAGCAGGAAAGCACTGGCCAGTGCACAACTTCCAAAGGGCTGAGATGGGTTTCTAATGGGGGTTTGCAGATGTTTTAACTCCTCCCCTATCTCTGGGTAATGTCCTGATGTTAGCTGTATTAGTCCTGTTAGGAGCAGAGTCACATTTCCCTTCAAAGCTTTCCCTCACCAACACGAAACACTGTTGATTTAATCTATGTACTATTCAGGATGGAAGCAGAGCTACAAGGAACAGGAGCACACACTTTACAGTTATATTGCGTGAACAAGGGGTGCTTTTCCCCCGATTCAGGAATTCTGCGCCACGGACTCCTAAATGACCAGTGATCCTGGCATGAACATGGTACTGTTATTAATTAATTTAAAATGCAGACTTGCAGGCAACAAACAGAAGATATTTTGATAGGAGTGTCAATCCTTCGGTTGCCAAACCATGCTTTTCTGCAACACAGTACAATATTCTGGCTCAGAACAGCCAGCATGTCTTTTTGTAAACAGTCATTTATTTGCTGTTAGAAAAGATAAGGTGACAAAGGCGAAAAAAGATGTATTCATAATACAGTTATTTAGTAGTGGGAGTTTAGATGGGAGAATTCATTTGAAAACTTATTTATTGTCTTAATGGTTGAAGAAACTCAAGCAGATCTTTGGTGTAGCAAGTTAGCGTGTCGTTCTTGAAGGGCTAAGCTGATTCATGGTGTCTGAGAATCTAACCAATCTAACCCT